TCAAAATTCTTCAAGCTCTGTCAAGGTGTTGGGGATTATGGCTGGATATACATTTTCAAATCTTGCCATAGATTTTCAAGCAGATTTAAATAAAACCTGTAACTTGGCCACTCAGGAATATTCACTGTCTTCTCTGCAAGCAACCCAAGACAGGACAGGAGAGGAGACGTGGTGAGGAGAGGACAGGACATGTGGAGAGGACAGGAGACAGGACAGAGAGGGAGACAGAGAGGGACAGAGAGAGAGAGAGAGAGAGAGAGAGAGAGAGAGAGGGACAGAGAGAAGAGAGAGAGAGAGAGAGAGAGAGAGAGAGAGAGAGAGAGAGAGAGGGACATAGAGAGAGAGAGAGAGAGAGAAAGAGAGAGAGAGAGAGAGAGAGAGAGAGAGAGAGAGGGACATAGAGAGTATGTACTGCATAGGCTATTTATTGTGGCATTGAAAACGCAAACCATGATATTGAAGTGCCCGAAGTCGGTATGTTTTATTTATTGGTTGTGTGGTGCATTGGCACAAAAACCTGCTGGTGGACAATTTTTTGCATATATTTTATATAATTATAAATATGGCATCAAAATGTTGAATATCTGATTTCCCCCTAGATGATCATTGTGTGCAGCCGGCTGTGATCGTAGTGTAATGAAACAGGCAGGGAGAGTGAGTATTCAGACCCTTTACTCAGTACTTTTTTGAAGCACCTTTGGCAGCGATTACAGCCTCGAGTCTTCTTGGGTATGACGCTACAAGCTTGGGCACACCTGTATTTGGGGAGTTTCTCCCATTCTTCTCTGCAGATCCTCTCAAGCTCGGTCAGGTTAGATGGGGAGCATCGCTGCACAGCTTTTTTCAGTTCTCTCCAGAAATGTTCAATCGGGTTCAAGTCCGGGCTCTGGCTGGGCCACTCAAGGAAATTCAGAGACTTGTCCCGAAGCCACTCCTGCGTTGTCTTGGCTATGTGTTTAGGGTCGTTGTATTATTGGAAGGTGAATCTTCGCCCCAGTCTGAGGTCCTGAGCGCTCTGGAGCAGGTTTTCATCAAGGATCTCTCTGTACTTTGCTCCGTTCATCTTTCCCTCGATCCTGACTGCTCTCCCATGCCCTGCCGCTGAAAAACATCCCCACAGCATGATGCTGCCACCACCATGCTTCACCGTAGGGATGGTGCCAGGTTTCCTCCAGACATGATGCTTGGCATTCAGGCCAAAGAGTTCAATCTTGGTTTCATCAGACCAGAGAATCTTACTTCTCATGGTCTGAGAGTCCTTTAGGTGCCTTTTGGCAAACTCCAAACGGGCTGTCATGTGCCTTTTACTGAGGAGTGGCTTCCGTCTGGCCAATCTACCAAAAAGGCCTAATTGGTGGAGTGCTGCAGAGATGGTTGTCCTTCTGGAAGGTTCTCCCATCTCCACAGAGGAACTCTGGAGCTCTGTCAGAGTGACCATCGGGTTCTTGGTCACCTCCCTGACCAAGGCCCTTCTCCCCCGATTGCTCAGTTTGGCCGGCCAGCCAGCTCTAGGAAGAGTCTTGGTGGTTCCAAACTTCTTCCATTTAAGAATGATGGAGGCCACTGTGTTCTTGGGGATCTTCAATGCTGCAGAATTTTTTTGGTAACCTTCCCCAGATCTTGCCTTGACACAATCCTGTCTCTACGGACAATTCCTTCGACCTCATGACTTGGTTTTTGCTCTGACATGCACTGTTAACTGTGGGACCTTATATAGACAGGTGTGTGCCTTTCCAAATCATGTCCAATCTATTGAATTTACCCCAGGTGGACTCCAATCAAGTTGTATAAACATCTCAAGGATAATCAATGGAAACAGGATGCACCTGAGCTCAATTTTGAGTCTCAGCAAGGGTCTGAATACTTAAGTAAGTAAGGTACTTCTGTTTTGTATTTGTAATATATTTGCTAAAATTTCCAAAAACCTGTTTTCACTTTGTCATTATGGGATATTGTGTGTAGATTGATGAGGGAAAAAAACAATTTTAATCAATTTGATAATAAGGTTGTAAAGTAACAAAATGTGGAAAAAGTCAAGGGGTCAGAATACTTTCTGAATGAACTGTATTTGTGGTCGTAAACATTATTTTGAGTTCGTTCTATGATAGGGAAGAGTGTGCAAATTATTTGACAGTACAATGGGAGGGTCATGGGAAAATATTTGTTACGTTGGAAAGGGGGGTGTTTTTTTGGTACACCTTGACTTGGACCAGTACCCTTAATGCTTTATGTACCCTTAATGCTTTATGTACCCTTAATGCTTTATGTACCCTTAATGCTTTATGTACCCTTAATGCTTTATGTACCCTTAATGCTTTATGTACCCTTAATGCTTTATGTACCCTTAGTGCTTTATGTACCCTTAATGCTTTATGTACCCTTAGTGCTTTATGTACCCTTAATGCTTTATGTACCCTTAATGCTTTATGTACCCTTAATGCTTTATGTACCCTTAGTGCTTTATGTACCCTTAGTGCTTTATGTACCCTTAATGCTTTATCTACCCTTAATGCTTTATCTACCCTTAGTGCTTTATGTACCCTTAATGCTTTATGTACCCTTAATGCTTTATGTACCCTTAATGCTTTATGTACCCTTAATGCTTTATATACCCTTAGTGCTTTATGTACCCTTAGTGCTTTATGTACCCTTAATGCTTTATGTACCCTTAGTGCTTTATGTACCCTTAATGCTTTATGTACCCTTAATGCTTTATGTACCCTTAATGCTTTATGTACCCTTAATGCTTTATGTACCCTTAATGCTTTATGTACCCTTAGTGCTTCTTGGACCAGTGGTTCTGGAAGATACTGACTTCATGACCAAAGTTCTACAACCTTTAGTCCATGTTGTAGCTAGCACAGCTGTTTAGGACTAATATCATACTGCAGACGTTTTCAACTAGAGAAGCACAGCTGTTTAGGACTAATATCATACTGCAGACGTTTTCAACTAGAGAAGCACAGCTGTTTAGGACTAATATCATACTGCAGACGTTTTCAACTAGAGAAGCACAGCTGTTTAGGACTAATATCATACTGCAGACGTTTTCAACTAGAGAAGCACAGCTGTTTAGGACTAATATCATACTGCAGACGTTTTCAACTAGAGAAGCACAGCTGGTTAGGACTAATATCATACTGCAGACGTTTTCAACTAGAGAAGCACAGCTGTTTAGGACTAATATCATACTGCAGACGTTTTCAACTAGAGAAGCACAGCTGTTTAGGACTAATATCATACTGCAGACGTTTTCAACTAGAGAAGCACAGCTGTTTAGGACTAATATCATACTGCAGACGTTTTCAACTAGAGAAGCACAGCTGGTTAGGACTAATATCATACTGCAGACGTTTTCAACTAGAGAAGCACAGCTGGTTAGGACTAATATCATACTGCAGACGTTTTCATCTAGAGAAGCACAGCTGGTTAGGACTAATATCATACTGCAGACGTTTTCAACTAGAGAAGCACAGCTGGTTAGGACTAATATCATACTGCAGACGTTTTCAACTAGAGAAGCACAGCTGGTTAGGACTAATATCATACTGCAGACGTTTTCAACTAGAGAAGCACAGCTGTTTAGGACTAATATCATACTGCAGACGTTTTCAACTAGAGAAGCACAGCTGTTTAGGACTAATATCATACTGCAGACGTTTTCAACTAGAGAAGCACAGCTGTTTAGGACTAATATCATACTGCAGACGTTTTCAACTAGAGAAGCACAGCTGTTTAGGACTAATATCATACTGCAGACGTTTTCAACTAGAGAAGCACAGCTGTTTAGGACTAATATCATACTGCAGACGTTTTCAACTAGAGAAGCACAGCTGTTTAGGACTAATATCATACTGCAGACGTTTTCAACTAGAGAAGCACAGCTGTTTAGGACTAATATCATACTGCAGACGTTTTCAACTAGAGAAGCACAGCTGTTTAGGACTAATATCATACTGCAGACGTTTTCAACTAGAGAAGCACAGCTGTTTAGGACTAATATCATACTGCAGACGTTTTCAACTAGAGAAGCACAGCTGTTTAGGACTAATATCATACTGCAGACGTTTTCAACTAGAGAAGCACAGCTGTTTAGGACTAATATCATACTGCAGACGTTTTCAACTAGAGAAGCACAGCTGTTTAGGACTAATATCATACTGCAGACGTTTTCAACTAGAGAAGCACAGCTGTTTAGGACTAATATCATACTGCAGACGTTTTCAACTAGAGAAGTTGTTTTATTAATTCCAGTTGTCCCTGTCACTTCAATAAAATAGGTAATAAGAAAACAATAACAGTATGGTTATAATCACATTCAATACGATAATATACTAATATAAAACAATATTACAATCATTAAAATGATATTTCACACATTAAATAATGTGCCATTTAGCAGACGCTTTTATCCAAAGTGACTTACAGTCATGCGTGCATACATTTTCTTTGTGTATGGGTGGTCCCGGGGATCGAACCCACTACCCTGGCGTTACAAGCGCCGTGCTCTACCAGCTGAGCTACAGGGGACCACAAAGATTGAGTATCCATCACCTTATGTAATGAAAATCTGAATATGTCTGGAACAATGTGTTGGGGGTTCAGCTGGTCCAGAGAACAGGGTCTGGAACAATGAGTTGGGCTGTAGGGTTCAGTTGGTCCAGAGAACAGGGTCTGGAACAATGAGTTGGGCTGTAGGGTTCAGCTGGTTCAGAGAACAGGGTCTGGAACAATGAGTTGGGCTGTAGGGTTCAGTTGGTCCAGAGAACAGGGTCTGGTTTTAGTAATCTGGATTACAGAACAAATAAAAGAAAAAAGAAAGATTAGTGTAAGAGAAATCATGAAATACATTTGAAGAGAGAGAGAGAGAGAGAGAGAGAGAGAGAGAGAGAGAGAGAGAGAGAGAGAGAGAGGGAGAGAGAGGAGGCAATGTGAGAGGAGAGAATACAATTAATATGACGATAGTTGAATGAAACCAAAACAGATATAATCTGACCATCATTGCTGCAGATAAAGTTGAATCTGTCAGTCTCAGGCAGGCCAACCCACTGCCCCCCGTCTCTCTGTATGGCCCCTGTGTTCCCACACTGCTCCTTGCCAGTGTTGTAGCCCTCCCCGTCGGCCCAGTTGTGGTAACAGGACTCTTCTCCAGTGACCCAGAACCAGAAGTCCAGGGTGCAGGTGTACCTCAGGCCCAGCCAGACGAAGGGAGTGGAGGCCTTCTTGGCTCTCTGTCGGACCCAGTGCTGGACGCTCTGGTTCTGGACAGACACCAGCTCCATGTGCAGGTATCTGCAGTGACACAGGGCTTCTGACCACGTCTTTTTCTCTGGGACCAGGACCAGCTTATCTGGAGGAAGAGGAGGATATGGAGACTCATGCTAATTGCTCACAAAAAAACGTTCAATCTAAAGTACATTTACATTTTGATATGACTATGTATGTAACCCCCCCCCCCCCCACTCACCATCATAGCAGATAAAAGGTTGTTTGACGTTACAATCGTGATCATTCCACTGTCCAGATGGGAACTTAACTTCCACACACAACTCTCCATGCTGTTCTCCCGCATATACCCAGTTTGGCTCGCCTGCCATCCAGTTTCTGAAGGGTGAGCCACTCTGGTCAGACCACTTCCACTCTCTATACAGGCCGATCCACACTTCTTCAGTTGGCACCACTTTGTTCTGTAAACGTTTTGCAAATGCTGATTATGTTTTTAACACAGTGCTCAAAGTGCAAGACAAATAAGGTCAATAAAGTGGAGTGAACTTGCCTGTATGATGTTCTGTATGGTGTGTTTGTCTGCTATATCCTTCACACTGGCCAGGTCTTTGTGGTTCTTCCGACAGTAGTTCTGAGCCTCACTCCAAGTCTTCTTTTCAGTGATGACGATGTACTTATCAGTGTGATTTGTGTCTATTTGAAAGGCAATAAGGTATAAAAGAAGAGATAAGATATAAAATAACATGTAGAGAGAATGATTTATTTCAGCTTTTATTTATTTCATCACATTCCCAGTGGGTCAGAAGTTTACATACACTCAATTAGTATTTGGTAGCATTGCCTTTAAATTGTTTAACTTGGGTCAAACATTTCGGGTAGCCTTCCACAAGCTTCCCACAAGAAGTTGGGTGAATTTTGGCCCATTCCTCCTGACAGAGCTGGTGTAACTGAGTCAGGTTTGTAGGCCTCCTTGCTCGCACACGCTTTTTCAGTTCTGCCCACACATTTTCTATAGGATTGAGGTCAGGGCTTTGTGATGGCCACTCCAATACCTTGACTTTGTTGTCCTTAAGCCATTTTGCCACAACTTTGGAAGTATGCTTGGGGTCATTGTCCATTTGGAAGACCCATTTGCGACCAAGATTTAACTTACTGACTGATGTTTTGAGATGTTGCTTCAATATATCCACATAATTTTCCTTCCTCGTGATGCCATCTATTTTGTGAAGTGCACCAGTCCCTCCTGCAGCAAAGCACCCCCACAGCATGATGCTGCCACCCCCGTGCTTCACGGTTGGGATGGTGTTCTTCGGCTTGCAAGCGTCCCCCTTTTTCTTCCAAACATAACGATGGTCATTATGGCCAAAGGGGTTCTATTTTTGTTTCATCAGACCAGAGGACATTTCTCCAAAAAGTACGATCTTTGTCCCCGTGTGCAGTTACAAAACGTAGTCTGGCTTTTTTATGGCGGTTTTGGAGCAGTGGCTTCTTCCTTGCTGAGTGGCCTTTCAGGTTATGTCGATATAGGACTCGTTTTATTGTGGATATAGATAATTTTGTACCTGTTTCCTGCAGCATCTTCACAAGGTCCTTTGCTGTTGTTCTGGGATTGATTTGCACTTTTCGCACCAAAGTACGTTAATCTCTAGGAGACAGAATGCGTCTCCATCCTGAGCGGTATGATGGCTGCGTTGTCCCATGGTGTTTATACTTGCGTACTATTGTTTGTACAGATGAACGTGGTACCTTCAGGCATTTGGAAATTGCTCCCAAGGATGAACCAGACTTGTGGAGGTCTACAATTTTTTTTCTGAGGTCTTGGCTGATTTCTTTTGATTTTCCCATGATATCAAGCAAAGATGCACTGAGTTTGAAGGTAGGCCTTCAAATACATCCACAGGTACACCTCCAATTGAATCAAATGATGTCAATTAGCCTATCAGAAGCTTCTAAAGCTATGACATCATTTCTGGAATTGTCCAAGCTGTTTAAAGGCACAGTCAACTTAGTGTATGTAAACTTCTGACCCACTGGAATTGTGATACATTGAATTATAAGTGAAATAATCTGTCTGTAAACAATTGTTGGAAAAATTACTTGTGTCATGCACAAAGTAGATGTCCTAACGGACTTGCCAAAACGATAGTTTGTTAACAAGAAATTTGTGGAGTGGTTGAAAAATGAGTTTTAATGACTCCAACCTAAGTGTATGTAAACTTCCGACTTCAACTGTAGGTTCATACAGACAAATACACGGTTGGAAAAAACTTTTCAATAAAATATGATTGTCTTGACTGAATCCAAACTCTTTGGTGTTTGACTGGTTGACATGCAGAAAGATGAAAAGGCTGACTGACAGGGGAACTCACCATAGCAGACAAAATCATGTTTTCCACCACAGGTGTCGTCATACCATAACCCATCTTTCATCCACACACATAACTCATTTTTCCCTATATTATCTGGTTGGCCAATTTCCCAAAACCTTTCTGTGTCTAACTCTGTGTCTTCCAGAGACCACCTCCAGTTGCGGTTATACAGCCCTATCCAGGCTGGTTCAGTTAACCCAGTTAACCCAGTGAACCCAGTGAACCCAGTTAACCCAGCCACTACTGTGCTGTTGAGCCTCTCCATGTCTGCCATGTCGTCTACGGTGGCCAGGTCAGTGTAGTTCTGTCTGCAGATACTCTGAGCTTCAGTCCAGGTCTTATTGATGTTCACAAAGTGGAACTGATGAGGGACGCTTGAGGGGAGGATGGACAGCCCTGTGGAGAACAACCCAACATTATGACTGTACAAAAAAAACACACATGCACAAACGCATGCACACACACACACACACACACACACAAACTAACTTGAACACACAAACTAACCGTTGATATCAATGCTAATGGAAATTTGATTTAGGCATGCATATCTCATGGTAGACAGACACAGACAGACAGACACAGACAGACAGACAGACAGACAGACAGACAGACAGACAGACAGACAGACAGACAGACAGACAGACAGACAGACAGACGCTGGATGAGCTTGTTTTACACATCCAGGGGACGGCGAACTATGTAAGCTCTGAATAAGAGCGTCTGCTAAATGACGTAAATGTAAATGTAAATGTAAGCGATGAAGGAAGAGTTTGTCTTTGTAATCGTGGCTGTAGAGCCGGGGCACGGCGAATGTTGTCACTAACTAAAACACAACAAATAAGGAAAAAACTTCAGACAAATCAAAAAATCTAGTTTCCCAGACAGCACCATGACACTGTTCCATCTGTCTGATGCTAATAGCGTGTTGAAATAGTTAATCATGGATTAGAACGTAGTTTGTAGACACCACATGCGTTCTATTGTTATTTTGTTTTGGATTCCACCCCGCATACCCGACCTCGCCGTCGGTTTGGGAGCGGCCCAAAAACTTCTAGATACGAACACACACAACACACACTACCACATAACACACTACAATACACCCTAACACACCGTCCAAACCCAATCACCCTAAACCACACTAAACACCGACACACACTAACAAACCACCCCAACAACACCACTCACCACTACCATAACTAAAGCAACACCCACAAAAACAACAACAACACCACAACCACACAACACACGTACACACAACCACCTACCACTAACACACTAAAAACTAACCACAACAAACTACACACACACCACCACCCACACAACACAACCTAAACCTACACCACCCACTCCACCACTACACACGACTCACCCCCCCCACTACACCCTACACACACACACCACTCCCACACCAACACCCCCCTACACACACTACACCACTACCCACTACCCACACTAAACCACGCACCACTACGACCACCACCACCTACACACACACGTAACACACACCACTCACCACACACTACACCACACATCCCTGCCCCCAACCACACCCCACCTCACACCTCACGACCACCACACTCACACCACTAACACCACAACCCACTAACACACCACCCACACAACCTAACACTACCCACTACACACACTAACACACATAACACTAAACACCCTACACACCCTAACCACCCCAACACAACTACACCACACAACACACCAACACACACACAAACACACACCTAACACCCACACACACACCAACCACACACACTACACACACACACTAAACAACAACACACACAACACACACTAACACACACCCAACCACCAACCACACTAACACACCTAACAACACTACAACACTACACGACACAAAAACTACACACTAATACACACCTAACCACATACACACTACACACATAACACTACACGCACACACGACACACACTCACACACACACACTACACTAACACACACTAACACACACTACACCACACACCACACTCCACTAACACACACTAACACACACACACACCACCACACTAAACACAACACACACTACCACCACACTAACACACACGAACACACTCAACACACCCTAACACCCACCCCCCCTCCCGACACCACCACCGAACCCACACACCTAACCAACCTAAACACACAGACACACGACAACAATACACAACACAGAACACACAACCACACACTACCACACTAAGAGAACACAACAACCACACATGCTACCAACATAACTAACCACAATACACCACCACATATAGCTACCACAATACTACCACATATAGCTACCACACTAAGCTAACACACACTAATACTAACCACACACTACTACCACAAACTACACACACTATAACTAACCACACATAGCTACCAAACCCAAATACTACAAACCACATATAGCTACCACATAAGCTACCACATATACTAACCACACATACTACCCACATAACTACACACATTACTAACCACACATAAGCTACCACACAACTAACAACCCACATACTACCACACATAGCTAACCACAACATAGACTACCACATACTAGCTACACACATAACTACCACACAATAGCGACACACAATGCTACCACATATAGCAAACCACACATAGCTACCACATATAGCTACCACATATACTACCACACATAGCTACCACTATAGCTACCACAAATATACTACCACACATACTACCACACATACTACCACTAACACCACTATACTACCACACATAGCTACCACCTATAGCTACCCACATATAGCTACACACATAGCTACCAACTATAGCTACCACACTATAGCTCAACACCACATATAGCTACCACATATAGCTACCACATATCTACCACATAGCTACCACATATAGCTACCACAATCACATAGCTACCACATATAGCTACCACATATAGCTACCACATATAGCTACCACATATAGCTACCACATATAGCTACCACATATAGCTACCACATATAGCTACCACATATAGCTACCACAATAGCTACCACATAGCAAATAAGCTACCACATATAGCTACCACACAATAGCTACCACATATAGCTACACACATATAGCTACCACATTAGCTACCACAATAGCTACCACATATAGCTACCACATACTAGCTCACTATAGCTACCACATATAGCTACCACATATAGCTACCAACCACATATAGCTACCACACTACATATAGCTACCACATATAGCTCCACATAAGCTACCACATATAGCTACCACATATAGCTACCACATTAGCTACCACAATAGCTACAAGCCACATTAGCTACACACCACATATGCTACCACATAGCTCACATATAGCTACCACTATACTACCACTATAGCTACCACATATAGCTACCACATATAGCTACCACATATAGCTACCACATATAGCTAACACAATCCAATATAGCTACCACATTAGCAAACCACATATAGCTACCACACACTCCACATAGCACTCTACCACACATAGCTACCAAGCTACCACTATAGCTACCACATATAGCTACCCACATATAGCTACCACATATAGCTAACCACAATAGCTACCAACAGCTACCACATATAGCTACCACACATAGCTACCACATATAGCTACCACATATAGCTACCATATAGCTACATATAGCTACCAATAGCTACCCATCATAGCTACCACAAAGCTACACATAGCTACCACATATAGCTACCACATAGTACACAATGCTACCACATATAGCTACCACATATAGCTACCACATATAACTACCACATATAGCTACCAATCTACCACATATAGCTACCACATATAGCTACCACATATAGCTACCACATATAGCTACCACATATAGCTACCACACATAGCTACCACATATAGCTACCACATATAGCTACCACATATAGCTACCACATATAGCTACCACATATAGCTACCACATATAGCTACCACACATAGCTACCACATATAGCTACCACACATAGCTACCACATACAGTGAAGGAAAAAAGTATTTGATCCCCTGCTGATTTTGTACGTTTGTGCGATGGTCTTGTAGCCCATTCCAGCCTTGTGTAGGTCTACAGTCTTGTCCCTGACATCCTTGGAGAGCTCTTTGGTCTTGGTCATGGTGGAGAGTTTGGAATCTGATTGATTGATTATTTCTGTGAACAGGTGTCTTTTATACAGGTAACAAGCTGAGATTAGGAGCACTCCCTTTAAGAGTGTGTTCCTAATCTCAGCTCGTTACCTGTATAAAAGACACCTGGGAGCAAGAAATCTTTCTGATTGAGAGGGGGTCAAATACTTATTTCCCTCATTAAAATGCAAATCAATTGATAACATTTTTGACATGTGTTTTTCTGGATTGTGTTGTTGTTATTCTATCTCTCACTGTTCAAATAAACCTACCATTAAAATTATAGACTGATCATTTCTTTGTCAGTGGGCAAACGTACAAAATCAGTAGGGGATCAAATACTTTTTTCCCTCACTGTATAGCTACCAACAACTGAACTTGAACTTTTACCAGCAGAATGGACGCATGCTTCAGAATTTAACGTCATGAAATGTAATGGCTGAAAAAACACATGTAAATATTTCAATAATTATTTAAGGGAATTTTACTTCAAGGACGGTTCACTTCCAGACAAGTCTTTTCTGTCATTCTACTCCTCATAAATATTGATTTTTAAGCATTATAACATTAACTAAATAAAAATACACATTCATGTTTACTAAATAACAATACACATTCATGTTTATTAAATAACAATACACATTCATGTTTACTAAATAACAATACACATTAATGTTTACTAAATGACAATACACATATCTTTTTACTAAATAACAATACACATTCATGTTTACTAAATAACAATACACATATATGTTTACTAAATAACAATACACATTCATGTTTACTAAATAACAATACACATTCATGTTTACTAAATAACAATACACATTCTTGTTTACTAAATAACAATACACATATATGTTTACTAAATAACAATACACATATATGTTTACTAAATAACAATACACATTCATGTTTACTAAATAACAATACACATATATGTTTACTAAATAACAATACACATATATGTTTACTAAATAACAATACACATTCATGTTTACTAAATAACAATACACATTCATGTTTACTAAATAATAATACACATATATGTTTACTAAATAACAATACACATTCATGTTTACTAAATAAAAAAACACATGAATGTCTATTGTCTTGTACTTTACTCTTTCAAAAAGTAGACATGTAGAGTTACGAAAGAAATCCTCATACCTGATGTTTGCTGTTGTTGTTGTTGTTGTTGCTGTTGTCGATGTTGTTCTTGATATTGTTGTCAGCTCTCCCTCTCCCTCTGAGTGGCTCTGTCCTCTCTGAGACAGGTG